GAGCAGATCCATGAATATGCCAAGAGGAACCGCGGTAACCTTCTGTTTCCTAACTTGATAACTACATTATGCAAGAAGAATAAGGTTCTTGAAGATCACTTTAAGGATTACATTAAACCAAAGGAGGGTATTACCAGGAAAAAAGTCCCCGAGTTGATGAGTTTCAATGACGACGACCCACATGAAGGTTTGAAGCAAGGAGCAAAATCGGTGCCATGGTTAGAATGGATGATGTGGTCAATAGATTCCATTATCCATAAATTAGGAATGATTATATTTTTCAGTGAAAACAGGTAACCATAGAGCACATATCATGTAGTCATAGTTCATAAATAGTAAATCAGAATATCGAACAGTTAAAAGATATAGTAAATCAGTAACTTCGGTAAATCACATTTCAAAATAGATAAAACAATCAAATAATACATATGGAACACACTAGAGGATCTAGTTATTTTTCAAAGTACTTGGTATTTATCAAGTAGGGAACCACGAAACTTTTGTAAATTGATAGGATTTTATAAACAAAATCCATATAAAAAGGGGGTTTGATAGCTAACGGATTCATCAGTCATTTGAGAAGTGATTTATCAAGATCATATAGTATTCAGATATTTTTCGGAGGCACTAAGTAATCAGGAATGTATTCAGAATATCTTATATCAGGGTTACTTGAGATTTCAGATATGATAGGAGTGATTCCATTATTCATGCAATCAGAGGCATTTTAGACATTTTGGTTTCTTGAAGAATTCTCAGTAACTTAACCCAATGAGAGTGAAAGAACAATTTATAATGTTTATGATTTAAATTGAATTATTAGGATTTCGAGTTCAATTAAACTATTTAATCCCAACACTGCGATACTTGCCAATCATTCAGACTGGGGTACTTCACCATTATTCACTTCTTAATACTGATTGCTCTAGTTGAACTGATCACATTCAGAATCATCGTTGAATGGATCTTAGGGAGACGAACATGTAGTCCAATGGTATTTATTTCATTTCTGTATTGCAACGATAATTAAGAAATGTCGACGTGCTTGATTCGGGGTTCCTAACCCTTATGAATGGTACAACATATAAGTTCATCAGCATTTCCAGACTTATCCAAGGCATCCACTTAATTCTATGTCATTGAGGGTACTTAGGTCATTTAGTATTCAAGTTTATCCCTGTCATTTCAGAGTTTCCAGAGTAATTCGATCGTTTCAACAATTCGAATACGTAAAATACTTTCATTTAGATCAACTTTATAATATAATATAGTCATTACGAGTAATTCAAACGTGTAAAGTATTTTCAGTAATTTAGTCTCCGGGTGTTCGCTCAGGAAGTAGAAATTCTAGGTAATTTTCTTATTTCGAAGATATTTCAATCGTTTCATTTAATTTTGACATATACATTACTTCTGGCAAATTAGTTTTTAGGAGTTTATTCAAGAATCAGAATTCTAAGTCTTTTACCATCTCAAAGGTTATGATCGATTAACAGGGTTATTTTCACTTTCAGGGACAACCCTTGTATATCACATCATACGGGTATTTTTCATATTTTCTTATCCAAGTATTTCTGACTATTAACCTTTAATGAGATTAATCAGAATTTACGTGTCCAAAATTAATTGATTTACTAATTAAATCACTAAACTTAAATTTATCTCTTATCGATCTTCTAGTTCCTTACACGAGTCAATTGACTCTTATTGGATTTACTGCCTTTATACCGTATTCAATTCGAGTCCAACAATAATTAACTCTGTGTAATTGACCAATGACTCTAATCATGCATTAACAAATCACCAATATGTACCGTAAAACATGCATAGGGTAGTAAAGTATTACCTTGATTTTTTAGCCACATCGATTAACTAATTAAACTCCATTTGATTACCCTCAAACTTTAATTCCACATCATATAATGTCTCGGATACATGGGAAAACCAATTACATTAGAAACGAAATATAAACGTGAAAATTTGTACTGAATCGGGAGATAAAATATTGAAAAACAAATTACCGAGTTCGAATTTAGAGAAACAAACTTCGGATTCAGACTAATGACGTTGGAAAATATAAAATATGACTTTTTTAAAAAATTGACTTTTTGGTCAAAGTCAATAGTCAAAGTTAATAGGTAGGTCAACGATCAACGGTCAGGTCAGAGTCAACGGTTCGGGTCAAGGTTAACGGGCCAGACCGGTTCAGGTTGACTCGGTTGGGTCAGACAAACCCAGTTCAGAGTGGTTCAAACCGGTTCGATCTGATTGGACCATTCAAGAAGGCTCCCTAGAGTGTGTGAGAGCCCCACGTAAACGCGGCGACATGTGGTGATGCGTGACAGCGACGACTGGGTCAAGGACGATAATCGACTACTCCGGAAGCATCAAGACAACAAAATCAACCCAATTTAGCATCCAATCAAGCCAAAACACGAGAAATTGTTTGAATAAAAGTGATCAGAGTCTTACCCATGGCGAGAACAACGATGATGGACGACGGCTTCGGTCGGGTTTTGGTCGTACGGAAATGAGGAGTTCCGTGGTAGTGGCAGTGAGTCGAATCAAAGAGTGAGGCAGCCGAAAATTACGAATAACCGAATAGTTGTGGTTATTTTCGTCGAAGCTTCAACCGTTTAATTCCGATGAATGACGCGACCACTCGGTGAAGGGATAGGGTGTTTTGATTGGAATTGCCCAGGGAGTCCAATGGCGGTGATCGTGCGGTGCAATGGTAATGAAATCGACCGAAAAATGACGAAAATAGTGGCGGTCTATTGGTTTCTCAACGAGACTTCGTAGCTCCCTCTACGGCAAATAATTGACCTTCACAACTAGGGAAGGGCTGGGTTGCAGTCGCTGGACAATGGCGAGCACACCGATGATGGCAGTGTAAGCCACGACTGGCCATACAATGATTGGAGATGAAGAGGTGATATGTTGGGGTTGAAACATTTAGGGATTTGGGGTATTATAACACGGGCCATACTTATAAAATATATATTTAATAAGAATAATCACAAACAGTGCCCTAGCCTAATGGCTAAGGCATGGGTGCCCATGACCCTAGGGTCACGGGTTTAACACCCCTTGACTTAATATGAAGGAGGAATTGAAAGAATATAATATCATGGACCAAATCGCAAATCTGTCAAAATACTCATCCAAAATTTTGGTTTTTCGAGTTACTCGAAATTTTGAAATTTCAACTCGAATCAAACTCGAAAACCGAATTGATAATTCGAGTTGACTCGGATAACTTCAATTTTTTTTAAAAAAAAATTGATTTTTCGAGTAGAATCAAGTTGTGCTCACCCCTTACTTCCACCATAATTCCGATCAACAACCTAAAAGAACTATTTATGGAAATGAACAATCAATGAACTTCAAAGAACAAATCCAACTCTCAAGTCCTTATCCTTGCGTACCCCCATCAGTGTGACATGCAATTAAAGAAAATAAAAAAGCATGTATTCAATTTCCAGTAAAAGGAAATGAATGTAAAAAATTAAACTTGAATATGGACCATTCAAAATTTAAACTCAAATAATCAGATTCACATTATGTTAAACGAAAATTATTAGAAAAAAATACCTTACCCGTTGTTTTGAAAACCGGACCGGCCGGTTCAACCGGGAATCGTTGTCTAGTCCGGTTCAAACTAAACCGGTTGAACCGCTATTAGTGAACTGGCCGGAACTGTTGAACCGTTCGAACCGGACCGGCTAAAAACTGGAAAAAAACTGGGAAAAACCGTCAATTTTGTTTTTTTAAAAAAAAATTAAACCAAACGACGTCGTTTGTTAAACGAGCCAAGTCGAACTCGAGTATTGCTGAGCTCGACTCAAACTTTAAAAGTAAGCTCAACTCGACTCAAACTCACGAACTAAAAATTATCAAGTTCAACTCGAACTCGAAATATAATATTGAAACTTGAACTCGAAAAGGCTTGAACTCAAAAAAAATTAGAAGCTCGATTGAAGCCTAAAACTCGAGCTTGATTGAAGTTAAAGAATAGTTCACTCTATGCTCACCAAAAGGCTCCATGATTTTGAATGTCAAATTACCTCTATTATTTATAGAAGTTAGTTGGGATGCTCTTCTATGTTTCTTAGCCATGTAGATTGTTTTGTTCTCATATTTTTACTCTTTAGAATTTTGGGGATGTTATTCTATGTTTCGTAGCCATGTGAGATTATTTTTTTTTAAAAATTAAACCAAACAATATTATTTTGTTATGATTTTTTTAGCCCCAAATTTATTTTTTAATTATACTTATATAATTATATTTATTATTTAATATGTTTTATCTTAAATATTATGTTGTAGTTAATTTGAATCATTTTGTTTCACTTGATTTTATGGTTTTTAACTCATATATGTTATGACTTGCTTTGAATATGACTTGTGATATACAAAATTATTTTTTATTAAATATTTTTGATATTTTTATTTAATTTTTTAATTAATTATGACGTCGTCCGGTTCTTCCGACCGGTCGGACCGATTCGACCGGTTGAACTAGAAAACCGATAGCATGACTGGTCCGGTTCTGAAAACCATGACCTTCCCAGCATGATTTTCTTTAGAATCATAACCGTTTGGCCATTTTCCTTTTTCATTGGGACCTAATTACATAACAATAATATTTGATAATATTACAAGTTGTTAGGATTAAGTTGGTCATTTTCCTCTTGAGCTCTTTCTATCTCGAGCCAACTCTTGCATTCTTTAGATCTCTCAAACCAAACGATATTGATTCTGTAATATTACCTCCATGAACCATCAACTATAGTTCTCCGTCTAAATTAAAAAAAGGTGAATCTGTCTATAACTACTACAACTCAAATAAATGATCCAACAATAGATAAAAGAAATTATCTCCTCGAGGACTTGATCAATAAAACTAACCTTAATTTCATAAATCTCCTTATACTTATCCCTGCAGGGTATCATAGAAATCAAATGTTCCAGGTTTAAAAAATAAAATAAATGACACATACAACAATTCTATTTGTTACAAGCTTCATGATGTGCCGTCTTTGTCAACCGTACCTAAAATCCAATGACTCCTCTTTTCTTCTACTTCCCATCTTTAGAAGTCCATATAGTTTTCTAAAATCTCTAACCGAATGATCCCTGCTAAACAGCCCCCCTAGATCGCCACTCGTTTCCTCTGTATTCCGAATCGATTCGTTGTCGCAGCTCGATCGTCTGCTTTTAATACCGCCAGTGGTTTGCATTGCCGTGATGACTGATTTCAATGCTCGAGTTGGTGAGCTCCGATTAGAAATCATGATCTCCCCGATCTCGGCCGGGGTTAAACTAGCCCCTCCCTGGAAAATCTCCTCAAGCTGAGGGAAAAGTTTATGTTCCTTGACGCCCAAGTAATTGCTAGCCAAGTTCTTGAAAGAAGAGAAATCACATAATGGAAACTGTACATGAACATCGATCCTCCCAGGCCTCAACACTGCTCGATCAACTTCTTCTTTGCTGTTCATTGTGAATACCATCACCCGTTCTTCGCCGCAGCAGGATATGATTCCATCAATGAAATTCAGTATCCCCGACAAGCTAACATCCCTGCATTTCCCCATTAAGAAACGGTCTAGATCTTCAACCACGATCATGGACTTACTAGTAGTTTGAAGCAAGAGCATCTTCAAATCAGAATCGTCTGAAACTTCGGACAAATCGATGTCGTACACATCGAAGTTGAGGAATCGGGCCATTGCCGCTACAAAGCTGGATTTTCCAGTACCGGACGGGCCGTATAAAAGATAGCTCCGCTTCCAAACACGGCCTAGCCTATGATAAAATTGCTTGGACTTGAGGAATGTTTCGAGGTCAGCTTTGACTTCGTTCTTCGAATCAATGTCCATTACAACAGTATCGAACGATGCGGGGTGATTGAACGGTACCGAACTCCACCGTCCGTTCTCGCCTGATGAGCTGCTAACGTTCATGCACAACTTGAGCCCTTTCTTCCTTTGACTGATATCGCCGGCGACAGACAGTATGTGTTGGAGATAGGGACGTAGAATTCTACGCCTATCCTTCTTCCTGAGCCTCAACACCAATACTCTTGGTCCATCCTTTTCAGATTTCTCGATGGTCCAGGTGACTCTGGCGCCGAGGAACACATCCCGGATTGTCTGGTTGACATCAAGGCGAAGAAGGATATCATTGGACTTGGAACCGCTGAAAAGGTTGGTGAAATCCGAGTCTTCTAAGGAAGGGAGAGAGCTGAGATACGTTGACACCTTGACATAGAGCTCGTTTTCTTGGAAAAGATGGTTGAACTGGGGAACTCTATAGGATTGGTGAACATGAAGCCTATCTTCCAAAGACTGGAAATGGCGGAGAAGGATGTGTAATACGGATGTTTTCGATAAGAATCGGAGAATCAAAAACAAACCCAGAATCATAAACAGCAGGAAGATCATGTTTACCATCTTTGATGGGATCGGAAAACTCAAACGAAGAAGGTTATAAGAGGAGATATGAAGATATCATTAATGGGGGCTGCTTTGGAAGCCGGCTTGAGAGGGCAATTTAGGGTCAAAGGCACGAGGAGCAGAGCGTATTGGACTTATGACTCTAAGGACTTGAATAATAATAAATATGCTCCAATTTTGGCATTCTTTTTCAATGTTTTTGACCGGAAAACGGGCTTTGATTTTCCCGTGAGGTAGTTGGAAATTTCATTATTTCTTGTTGGTTGTTCAATACTTAATTCACCTAAATTCCGCGTTGTGTTTTTTATGCTTAATAGTTTCAAGGTGAAGGAATATCCGGCAAAACCAGGCAAATAATACGGGCGGGGATTTTTTTCTTTTGAAAAATAAGGGTGGTTGAGAATTATTTTGGGATTCAAGTAACTTTTTAGAGTACACGTGAAACTCGTCACGTTGAGGTGATAAATTTGAAACTCATTATATAGAGGTATCAAGTTCGATATAATTTTGATCTATTTCATATGACGAATTCTATATTTTAATATATTTTATAGACGTGACGAGTTTCACATGCATTGTATCAAATAATTTAGATCCCCAAATAAATTTGAAGGTGCCTTATTTTATTAATTAATTTTTCCGTCAATATTATTTGTCGGATTTTATCAGAATATCCGCCTTCTAAAAACTTTTTTTTACCAAGTTTTGAGAAATTTAGAACACTAATCTAACTTCCCCCCCCCCCAAATGAAATTCATCTTTAAAGTAGGTTAAAAGAGTTTCGAAACACTCGACATTGTAAATAAGTTGAAAAAGTTGTTTCTATAATGAAACTCTACCGTGCTTGATCTAAATTAACCAACAAAGGAATCGAATATTAAAAAACAAAGTCTTCTTTGGATCAGAAACCTGCATTTTCATAGAGCTTACAAGTAGCAATATTTAAGTCATGATAATGGACCCAACCAACTGCTTTACTCCTAGAGGTGTAAACAAGTCACTCGATCTCAAGTAGTGTTGAGCTCGACTTGACTCGAAAACTCGTACGTTTAAAATTTTCAAACTCGACTAGAACTTGAAATAAAGAATTGAAACTCAACTCAAATTCGAACATGAACCTTAAATACATGAAAGCTTTATATGTTATTTTTTTTTTTAAATGACATACAAATGGTAGTATTATTATTAATTTAATTTCAAAAATCTAAAATTTTAATATATTATTATTTCGAGTAGCTCGGAGTTTTTCGAGTTAAGTATCAAATAACTCACTTCGACTGGTTAAGAATTCGAATCAATTCCATTCAATTCGAGTATTGACCGAACTTTGACCGAATCGATCTTGAGTATCTCGTAATCTGTCTCGCCTCGTTTACATCCTTATTTACTCCCATCCGCCCCCATGGCATCAATCACCGGCTCCTTGATAAGTTTATAACAATCATTCCTACCTATTGCAACTTGCAAAAATAAAAAAGAAGAGCCCCTAACTATGATGAGTTAAACATGCATCAACATATATTATTGCTTTCCCATTAAAACATGGGAGCTCAACCGCAACAACCTAACCTCAAAATGATTACACCCATCTTCTTATGGGATACTTCATATCAAGCAATAAAAGTAAAATATATAAATCCAAACCCGTTTTAAATGTGGTCCACCATATAACATCTCAAATGAAAAATAGAATTGAAAGACATAGTACCACTTACATCTTAAAGATTTTTTAGCTAACTTTGGCAAAAGCTTCATTGAAATTGCTAACTTGGGGAGTTCATTAATAGCAGCTTGCACCTGATAATCATCTGGTTCCCTCTGCCTTGACTGTCCAGATAACGTGAACTTAGCCTGCTATATTCATTCGCAGCAACCACTGTCCTCCTTGAAGTACCAAGTGCTTTCTCCAAATTAGTCAGTGCTAATGGCTTTGTGGTCTGAAAATCAAACAGAACTTTAGTCCTAGGTATATGTTTAAGATTTACTTACTCCAGACAGTTTTCCTTTCTTCTCCTCGTCTAGTAAGTCTCTAATAGGAATGTATTCTGCTTTCTCGCAGAGTTTGAGAAGGTCTGAACCTGTGTATCCTTCACACAAACAGGCTGCATGGTCAAAGTTGATGTTCTTCAACATTCTCACCCTTCAAAATCACCTTTAGTATCTCAGCCCTTTACCTGATATCAGGGATTCCAATCTCAAAAGCCTGCAGAAGATGCCTGAGTGTTGCTTCATCTAGTTCTGAAGGACAATTTGTTGCGGCAGGAACCATAACTTGTGCATTCTCTGCACAACAATATACGATCATTATATCTTAATTTATAACTTTAAATTCATCACAAAAGAAATGAAAGACAGTAATTAGTGGGAGAATGATAGCATCTATAAACACTCTTAGAAGAGAATATAAATATTACAATTACACAAAAAACAAACAGAATCTAATATCTATTATCGAAGGGGATGGGGTTTCATAGGAATCGAACCCTAAACACGCCAAAACTTGAAACCACATACAAGTTGTCAGTAGACTAACAACTTGTTGGCAGAAAAAGGCCAGCTAACAACTACAAACATATGAAATGAAAATTTGCATCTCTCTTTTGGTCTGTGTGTGGACATTGGTGTTACAAGCATATTTGAATGAAAAAACCATTTTTGGGTTCTCAATGAAAAGATAAGGTATATACCATCGCAGCACGGCCTTAGGATTGTTGAATCAATTAACCTTATCTTAGAAGAATTATTTTCACCTATCTCATGTATCAGCTCACTTTTCCACAGGATTTCAATTAAATATAAGTACCTTACCTCCCCCGGAAGCTGCTCTCAACCCGTTGGGGGCAGCCTACTACCTTACCTCCCCTCACCCCATTACATATGGGAATAGGGTAAGCTAATTATTATTATTATTATTATTATTATTATTATTATTATTATATAAGTACAACAAACCAAATAACAGGTTAAGGACCACTTTTATCCCATATAACCATATTAATTCAGGTTTAGTCAAAAAATGCAAAAAGCCCTACAACAATACTTACCAAGTTTCTGTGCATCCCAAACCACCTGTTCATCAGATCTGTCATCCTCAGATTGATACAAACAGCTCCAGACTCCTTTGCACTGGCTTGAGTAAGCATGGTCTTTCTACCTGAGGGACCATATAAGAGAACCCCTTTTTGAGGACCAAGAAGCCTTCCATGTGAAAACAACTCTGTTCTCCGTAATGGAAGAATCACTAGCTCATAGAGAACATGCTTGATGGCTTTCAAACCTCCAATAGATTCAAATTCCACATCAATGTGATCAGGATATATCACATCACATGCTATTACATCCTGTAAAAATGACACAGACACACACACACACACATATAGGACTACTGAATATACCATGCAAAAATTCTAAAATACAATTGGTAGGCATGCATTCTGAGATAATATAGTTTTAGATATACATTAGGATATTGTTGAACCTAATAAATTAAAGAAATCACTAGAAAATTGCAGACATCAAACAGAAATAGGATAATGGGAGCAACAAAGGCTTGAAGTGCACATGCTCATGAGCTAGCATTCCAGTTTCTGCATATGTAGGTGATTGGCTGGCCAGTTAACTATTATTCACTAGAATTACAAATTCCATCCTTGGATCACATTCCACTAAGAAAAATCCCAAAAAAATCTAAAGAATCAATAAATACTCACAAATTTATCTATCTAACAATAAAATACAATTTGGCTTAAAACAACCTCCATTTTTTTATTAACTTAGGTGAATACAACGTAGTATATGTTATAAAGATTTTTTCTCCATTTGATTATAAAAGTTCAAATACCCTTGCAGTGTTTGAACAGGGGTAGTTTGGTTCGTTCAAAACAACCTCCATTTTGGAAAGGAACAAATATCTATTACCATAAACAGCTTCCATTAACGTATTTTTTCCCAATTCCCAAATAAAAGTACCTCCTACGGATTGGTATGAATTAAAGGACAATCCAAGCGCTTGTCAATTTCCTTCTTGTTCTCCAGCGCCTTTAGAAGCTTACCGGTTTGGATAGAGGTGCCGGAGCCCCGCGAAGAGGAGCAGACAACTAAGGGCAGCGCTGGCGGCGTACGAAATGAGTTATTTGTTTCCGAAGGAGACGAAGACGAACCCATCTTTGGCATATAATATCTATCAATCTATTAATGTACCATTTTTCTTACTAGAAATAACAATTAGGTAATAGCTAGGGTTGTGAATATTAAGAGGGGAGAAGAAGGATTGCGATTCGAAGAAAGTGCTCGCAAAGAAATGCGGGACTTTTTGTTACATGCTGATATAAAATATGAGGCTTCCTGGTAAATTGAATTGTTGCTCGGTATACTTTTGAAATCAAATGGTACCATAATCTAAGGGTGTTCCTATCCAGGTACCCGAATTTTTGGGTATTTGAGATGTCGGATATTTAATTTTTCGGATAATATATTTGTTGGTTTGTGCTTCGAATCATAATTATTGATCAGGTGTCTGTTAATTGGGTATTCGTAAAATTTAAATACCCATAAAATCAAGTGTTGAATATTCTATTAATATTTTTTTTTAAATTCAGTTTTTAAAAAAATCAAATAAGAAACACATAAAATTTAAAAGTTCATAATATATAATCAATACACAAAAATTAGAAATTTGAAGTTAGTTTTAAGGATAAATATTCGAATATATATAAATATTATTTTCTAAAAGAAAATATTAAAAATATTAATAACGAGCTTCATTTTTTTCTTCAAATCTCATATTGAAAAATTAATAAAAATATTTTTAAAAAATTTAAAACTTAAAGTTGCATAATACAAACCTAAAAAGAATTTAAGGATTTAAATTTAGTTTTAAAGTAAAAATGTTAAGAACCTAAAATAAAAATATAATTTAAAATTAAAGAATATACATATATTAAAACTATCGAGTGGGGTCGAGTATCCGGTTATATAAAAATTTTGTCCTAGATCCGACCCAACTTCCTGGGAAAATCACGAATCAGGTACTCGGGTAATATGTTTTAGAGAATTACCTGGATTTTTAGTGTTCGAGTTAGCAGGTTAACCGGATCGAATATTTTTGAACAACCCTACATTAAAACGAATAAGATTAATCTCAGATAAAAAAACTATCAGATTCTAGTAGTTATGTCCGTAAGATGCATGTACATTTTTAATAGATTAAAGGGTAAAGTATAGAAAGGTCCCTCGACTATAGGGTGTTATTTTATTAAGTCCATCAACTATTGAAAATTATAAAATGGTCCCCCAGCTATAGAGTGTTACTTTGTTGAGTCTCCCGACTATTTAAACTTATAAAATGGTCATCCGACTATTCATATGGTATTTTTCGTTTAAAATTTGACGACAGAACGAGTTAAAAATTAACCTGTTGACTGAGATATAATAAAATTTGATCCCAAAATGCCAAATGACTATATAACTGAAACAGCTCTGGGATCAAATTTTATCATATCTCAGTCAGTAGGTTAACGTCTGGCTTAGACGGCCATGAATATTTTTTAAGAAAAATTACAAGTTTGGAACATATGAATACTTGAGTGGCCATTTTGTCACTTTTAATAGTTGAGGGACTCAACAAATAAACACCCTACAGTTGAGATATCATTTTGAAACTTTCAATAATCAAGGCTCAATAAAACAATATCTTATAATTGATAGACCATTAATATACTTTATCTTAAATTAAAAAAATCTTATGATAATCCAAACTAATTACTAAGCTAGTATTCAGCCTGTAGTGATTATTATTTGCTACTATTCAGCCTGCAGTTGTTATTATTTGCTAATTACGAGCTCTACAAATAAGTTGGCAAATGCCATAGTTAACATGTCATTGTCTTCCACAGCCGCTCTTCCCCTTTTTCCTTTTTATTTTTTTCTAAAATCTGTGTTATTTTTTTTATAGATCAAATTAATTTTATCTTCATTGATTTTGTTTAGCCATTGATTTTATTTAGCCGTCGACGACATCAGTTTTGATGTTGGTTGTCGACTATCGGTTTCTTTTGTTTTGTTTATTTTTTAATTTTTTAATAAAAATAATTCTGTCTTTGTGGTATGTTTTTCTCTACTTTTGTGACACATTTTTCTCTTTTTTTGTGGTATGTTTTTTCATCTTTTTTTATCGGTCATTTGATCTTTTTTTCTTTTTTATATTTTCTCATAGTTAGATTTAAAGACACCACTTGTAACATCCCAAATTACGGGTTAGTGACTAAATTGTAAAATTTCAAAATTTAGGGATAAAAGTAGAATAGTTGAATAGTTCACTGATTTATGTGGAGATATTTCCTGAAAGTATTTAGTAATTATCAAAGGAATTAAAGGGTAAAATGATCATTTGACAAGAAAGATATTTTCCCCCTTTTATAATCATGAATCACGTTGAGGGGGGAGAGTTATCTGAAAACTCTCTTATTATTCTTCTCCTCTCTTCTTCACGTGTGCCAAGCTAGAGCAAATGTGAGTTTTTTATTTAGTTGATTATTTGTTGATTTTATAGTTGGGTTTTGATCATTAGATGATAACTAAGCTTAAGGAAATCTTAAGTTATCTTATAATCAAAAGATGGAGAAATTATGAAAGATTTAAGTGAAAGAGTTTTTAAATGAATTTCTGTAAAAGGGTTGATAAGTTGAATTTGAAGTTAAATTCGACTTGTCATCAGCTTAATTAAGAGATATGAAGTGATAGAATTGAAATTAGAACATATTGAAAATTTGGGTATGATTATTGATTCCATATGAAAGATGGGATTTTGAGGTTTAAGATGAGATAAATTGATATAAATTAGTGTAAGTATGTATATTTGAGTTAAGAATATGAAAGGGAATGAAACATGAAGAATTGAAGTTGAAATAGTGAATTTTCGTGCATGAACAGTGATTTCTGGACAAAAATTTACAGATTATATAGAGGGTATAGATACCTTATGGGGGGTATCGATACCCCCTAAAGAAAAAAAAAATGAAATTTTGGTTCAATAAACTAGATTAAGTTACTAACATCAAGTTATAAGGTTTAGACTTATGATAATCGTCTCGGAAAATTATGTTTATGTAGATATTGAGCCTAAACAAGATCCGGAACAATCAAAGAATTATGATTAAATCAAAGCAAGGCTAAGGTGAGTGCAATTTAATTTGTACTTAGGTTATTGAATAGACATTGACTTGCGATGAGCCAGTGACGGAGTTACTGTGGTAAGAAGTGACTCCTAAAATATTATTCGATTTGTGATTGATATGACACTTATGTGGCATGAGTGTATGTGATATATATATATTATTGCATATGTTACATGAATGGTGTGAATACATGTTAGTGTGATAAGCTATGTGAACTGGTATAAATAGTATATGTGAATACATGTTATATGATATGAGATTAAGTGATGAAACATAGATGATATATATATGATGATATAAGAATAAGACATGAATTAAATGATATATATATGTTTATGTGAATCCATGCAAAGTGATACGAGCTATGTGACACATGAATATGAATTCATATGAAAAGTGACATGAATTACATGAAAGTAAAATACGTGATTATATGCACATGTGATATATGATCATAAGAGTAATGATATGAGTACATGAATATAGATATAGGTTATTATATATGAAATTATAATATAAGTTGTGTAATAAACCATATGAATGGGTATAAATAATTAGGAGAATAAATGAAAAGGTGAGATAAAATAAGTAGCATTTACTTATAAGGTAATAGGAAATTATGTGAACAAATAGTATTGATAGGGAACATAAGACTACACGTATATCTTTTAATGTAATAAAAGTGATATATGTGATGTATTGGAAACATATGAGAACAAGAGATGACATGATTTGTATGATGTATGAATTCACGAGTAAAGGCATATGTGAATATAATTTGTATGCATTATATGTCATGAGGCATATGTGAATATAATTTGTATGCATTATATGTCATGTGAACATAAGAGGATAGAATATGAATTATATGATATGAGATATCTGAGAAAAGGTACATGTGATATGAGAATTGAAATGAACTACGTGAAAAGAAACTACATGATTACAGGCATATGTGAACGAAACTATGAGCTTATATGAATATGTGAAATGATAAATAATAATGCCCATGTTATATGATACGAGAACTATAGGTATAGTTGGCATGCCAAGAGTCAAGGGTTTCATAGGTCCTTCGGGATAATACAATGGTCCTTCGGGATAATACAGTGGTCATTCAGGACAATACAGTGGTCCTTCGGGATAATACAGGGTCCTTTGGGACAATACAGTGGTCCTTCGGGACAATACAGTGGTCATTCGGGACAAATTTCATATGCCACTCAGTGGGACTTATACGACCTGTGGTGACAGTATTAGTGCACAACCTCAATATACTCACGTACCTTAAGTTCTCACAGGTGTACATGGGCTAATAAAAAGATTAAACAAAAATATACTGAATGTGATATGTATATGTGATTTGTTATATGGAATAAATTACAGGATTTATGTATTGGTTATATGGAAGGATATATGTTTTTAGTTATATGAACTGTATTATATGAATTATATGATGTGTATAAATGATAAGTATGTAACATCCTCAATACCGGGTTAGTGATCAAATTGTAAAGTTTCAGAATTTGATGACTAAAGTAGAAGAATGAAATAATTCAATGATTATTTGTATATATATTGAAGGTTATTTAGTAATTATTAAAGGAAATTAAGGGTTAAATGGTCATTTGATCATTCAAGGAATGATATACACGTGAAAAGGGAGAGAACTCTCCAGAGTGCTCTTCTCCTTTCTTCTTCTTCATACGTGGGAGAGCAAGCCAAAGGTAAGTTTCTTTGTTTGTAAATGAATTGTTGATTTTAAGGTTAGGTTTTGATTATTAGATGATAACTAAGCTTAAGGAAAGCTTAAATCATCTTAAAAACAAATGATGGAGGGGTTAAGAGAGATTAAAGATTTGGAGATTTTATATGAAACTTTGGAAAAGAATTGATAAGTAGAATTTGAAGTTAAATTTGACTTGTCAATGGTTAGATTAAGAGATTTGGAGTGATAGAATTTGATTTTGAACATATAGAAAATTTGATATGATTTTTGAATTACATATGGAAGATAGGATTTTGAGGTTTAAGATGAAATAAATGAATATAGATTGGTTTAAGTATGTGTACTAGAGTTAAGAATGGAAATGAGATGATATATGA